CATTCATCACTGTCACTCATCATTGTCACTCAACATTCATCACTGTCACTCAACATATTCATCATCACTGTCACTCAACATTTTCTTCATCATCATCACTGTCACTCATCATATTCATCATCATCATCATCACTGTCACTCAACATCATCATCATCACTGTCACTTAACATTTTCTTCATCATCATCACTGTCACTCATCATATTCATCATCATCATCACTGTCACTCAACATCATCATCACTTTCACTTATCATCTTCATCACCATCATCGTTCAACGATTCTAGTAAATAGATGGCTCAAGATAGTAATGTGTCTGGTACGCTTTGCTAAAGGTAAACGACAAATCAACTGATTCATTTCAAGTGATTTGTATGAACTAAACAAAAGAATAAGAACTCATTGAAAGATTGATTGAAACTAAATATATAATGTATATAAAATATATCGATTACACAATAAGATATGATTAACTGATCGTTGTTAAAATAAATATAAGGCAAGCCTTATCAACGTGTTTCTCGTCTGTATCTGTATCTGTATTGTGAATGTTCTTTCTGTCCATTAATCCATATTTCAACGAGAATTCCATCAAAAAATGATGCCACGAAAGAAGTGATGATCATCATCTCCATCATTATCCACATTACCATCATCGTTATCACCACCATTATTATCATCGTCGTCGTGTCATCACCATAATAATCATTATTGTCACCACCATCATCATGTCCAGTGCTATCTATCTACCCGTTCTTTTCCCCTGTATATAATCATCATCAGCATCAGCAGCAGCATCCTCATCATGTCCAGTGCTATCTATCTACCCGTTCTTTTCCCCTGTATATAATAATCATCAGCATCATCATCAGCACCATCATTACCATCATCATGATGTCCAGTGCTATCTATCTACCCGTTCTTTTCCATTGTTTATCATCCTGTACATTATAATTCCTTACCAGTGGTTTCTGTGCTATCACTCTCATTTTACCCTGTGCTTTCTGCGACAATCTTGGTTTTTCTTTTTGTCCTTTTTTCTCAGGCACAGCTTTCTTGCCTTTGACTGTAAACCCATCACTCTCTCCAGACCCCTCCCTGGCAGGTATATGATCAGGAGTCTGGGAACTGGGTCGTTCTTTCACAGGGCTCAAACTTCGAAAACTTTCTTCTTCGTCAAGCAGTTTCCAAATCTCTTGCAGCGAGGCTTGACCTTCTGAAGACGAAGTAAAAAGTGCGTGCTCCTGGTAAGGAGATGATGATCGCTGCTGACTATGTATCACTGGCTCAGGCGAAGGTTGTTTGCGTGACACTGGTTTAAGACTTGCGTGACGACGCGGTTCTTTAGTTTCTAAAACAATATCAAAACCAGAGGGATACAAAACTTAGATACTCTTCACAAGTGAGTTGAGAGTTGTACACATAGAATACTGAGACTAATGGTAGTGTGTGAGAGAGGGTAGGCCAAATCGGATACCAGTATTCATACGAATAAAATACATGTATATCATAATATTAGTACCTGGTTTGTTAGCTTGTATTCTGGCCTCATTAGAATCTGAAGGTGACGTGTCACTGGAGCTCGACCTCACAGTCACCTGTACCTGTCCAGCGGCAATCTTCTGTTGTTCTGCCATGCGCTGTGCTACTTGTAGCTCGTGTGTAGTCAGTGCGTATTGTAGTTTTTCCATTGCACTTAGTTTGGTCTGCAGATCGTCTGCCATTTCATCTGGTGTGAGTTTGACGGGACTGGGTGTAGATGGAGCACGAGGCCTGTGGTGGTCAGCGGCGTGACGCATAAAAGATGAACCTTTCATATCTTCACCTTTGAAGGAAAGAAAATGCGATTTTAAGTCAGAACGGAGACAAAACCCTGAAACAAAGATTTCTTCGCTTCATTATGAATATTAAGAACTAAATCTCTTGGGTTTTAATTGACCACGTGATAATACGTGCCAACCGGGGCGGACACGTGGTCACAATAGACTTACCTCTCACACGTGACAGTTCTGCGCGTAACTTGTTCCCCATCTGAATGAGCTGTTCTTTCTCTCGCACCAGCTGTGTGATGCGCTGGGCAGCAGTCTTCAGCTTCTGTTGTAGCCTGGCTACGCTTGGGTCAGCGTGAGATCTGGGAGAGACACCTGAAAGTAGATATTTCAGACGTATTTCATTGTTATGAACCAACTATCAAAGTCCATTTTTCTCGTACTATGATTGGGCGAGAGGGTATCACCTGAACGTGAATAAGTTTCGATATTTCCCCGTGAAACATTGCCGTCTCGGGACCACAAAACACACTGTTTCCCTCGGTCCCAGTCAATAAGTGTCAAGTATAGGAAATATGAATGAATACATCACACTGCATAAGGCATTTTTATGACATGATGTTCTGGTGGGGTAAGTACTCGGGCATCTAATAGGACTAAGGGATGGAGTGCAGGAAAAGGGAAAGGAAAGAAAAGGAGAGGAAAGGAGAGGAAAGGAGAGGAAAGGAAAGGAAGAGAGAGTATCACCACGCTCACCACAATGTACAATAGAAGGCTACAGAACATTGCAGTATTCATGTACAAGATCAAAAACAGACTGCTACCTCAAACTATGATAGATCTATTTAATTCTCCCTCTCATAAGTATAATCTAAGGAACACAGATTTTTCTATTACTAGTTATAATACAGTTAAGTATGGGAGGAATAGTCTTAGGTATTTTGGACCATACTTGTGGTCTAAGCTCAAAGGTCATCATCATCCCTTCAGGCTTTCAAAAAAGGTATTAGGAAGCTGGATCTGACCGAGCTGACAAATAAATTTTAGTATATTATATTTATATTTATATAGTCATATTTCAGTCCGATAATAACGTTACATTATATTCAGATAGTCATAAATTATGATTATACATATAGTCATATAGTATTTTTATTTTATTTTATTTTATTTTATTTATTTATTATTTATTTTATTTTATTTATTTATTATTTATTACTTCTTTTTTTTAAATTTTTTCAATTATTTATTTAATCATTTATTTATCTATTTATCTTTTTTTTTTGTCTCCCCGATTACTCCCCGATCTTCTAGCTAAGATATAAGATATAGAGACATTAATAAAGTTATTATTATTATCATCATCATCATCATTATCATCATTATTATCATTATTATTATAAGAGAAAGGGAGAGAAAGGAAAGAGAAAGAGGAAAGTTAGGAACTAGGCAGGAGGAAAGGGGAGAGAGAAACRAAAAGGAAAGCAAGAAGAGATAGCAAGAATATCTTAGCAAAAATAGCAAAAAGTATTTCATACTAGGGGATAAAGATGCTCTCGCTCCATTTTTGATTCAACAGATACTTACCAGGCTGCTTGCGCAATCTCTGAATCTCATCCTGTAACTCATTAACAACAGCAGTTTGTGGGTTAAAGGTAGCGGTAGATTTCCCTTGGGATGCCAGCTCGAGCTTTAAGACTGACAACTAGAAAAAATGACATGAAATATAGATTACCCRCAAATCAATTCCAGCCATGTTCACGTTATAGCTTTGAGGTCAAAGCCCATTTCATACTTTGTCTTCCCAAGGCCAGTCTGACTGTCCCTATACACTCAACCTTGATTAAAATAAATGACCAAAATGTGTAAAAATATGCAGATGTTTCCAAACGAAAAAACCTTACCTGGTTTCCCAAAGTCGTTGCTTCCAAGTTTCTTTCAAGGCCACTCTTAAAATATTCATCTGCCTCCCGCCGTACTTGGGCCAGCTGTAGTTCTAGTTCTAACATGCGCTGTCTCTGCGCATTGGATTCTTCTGCAGTTCGTCGAGTCAGAGTCGTCAGATCATACTGCGCTTGATCAAGGGCTACTTGTTTTTGACGCAACTGAAAATACGTTGAAAAAATATTATTCTTTAAAATGGCGTGGATTTGATGAATTCTGGTCAAGCGTTTATCATCTTTTATATGGAGTTGACTCGGTACCCAAGCTAGACCAGAATGCATCTTGTTTACGAAAAATAATAGAGCGTATAGAAAGAATATGACACAAGCAATCAAAGAGAAACGATAATGATAAGATGAATGTATGATGTTGAACTACCAACCTGGTCTTGTGTTGAAGCGACCAGTCCTTGTAGGTGCGCAGTGGTCGCTTCGTGTTTTCGCACTTGCGCAGTGAGATGCAACTTGTCCTGACGTAGCACTCCTGGCCAAATTCAATCAAATGAGTAAAATAAGAAAATGGCAATTAACAGCGGTTTTTCAAGTGACTTTGTACTTACCAGTAGTATCGTTTAGTTCTATCACGTGACTTTGTACTTACCAATAGTATCGTTTAGTTCCTTCACGTGACTTTGTACAAAAGGATCGTCAATTTTTCCTAGTACCCTGGCCTGTTTGTTACTGTGCCCAGTTCCCTGGGGAGGCTTATGGCTCAGCGTCAAATCCTCTAGTCGTTTGCTTAGCGATCTGTTCTTTGATTTTAACTCAATAACCTCTTTTTCCAGTGATTTGACATATTCTGAAATCGATAAATAAGTTTATCAATAATAGTTTTGATGATGATGGTCATGATGATGTTAATGATGATGGATAAAGGATGATGGTGATGATGATGGTAATGATGATGATGATGATGATGGTAATGATGACGATGATGATGATGGTAATGATGACGATGATGATGATGGTGATGATGATGGTAATGATGATTATGATGGTGATGATGATGATGATATGGGAGATGATAATGATATTTAATCTTATTTACTATGTTTTTCTATACCGGAAGTTAACGGTACACTGCTTTGTTCTTGGTCCTCATCTAAGGTAGTTACCATAACCGAAGGGGGCCTACTTGCTAACTGGTTATTAAGGTCCTCCATATCTTGGCGCATCTGTCGAATAACGTCCCTCAGGTTTTGATTCTGTCTTTGTAATTCTTCGACATCGTCCTCGTTTGTTAGATGTTCCCTCCCTAAAACCTCATCCCCAGGGATTTCTTTATCAGGTAAATGCATAGGTACAGATAGGCCGTGTCTCTGTAGAGTAGCGAGAGCCTGGTCTCTAGTCTCTGTTAATATCCTTATAAGGTTTTCACRTTGATTCAGTTCCCGGTCCTTTTCTTTGACAGCAGCGACAGCCTGTTGGAAGACACGTAATTCAAATATTCATCCTTAGATTATTCAAGCAATTCATTAGCATGAAGGTAGGATGACTCAAGCGCTAAGGTCAAGGTTCCTATTCGTTTCTCAAGGTGACACCAAAAGAGGAAAGCCCGTTAAGGTCTTTTATACCATACCTTCATTCAATACAGATCACGTGATAATGCCTCCAGAAAACAGGTAGAGATAATCACTCTCCCCCCCCCCTCCTAAAGAAGTGCATATCAGTAAGAATCACATTTTCACCTCATCTTTAGCACGGGTTAGATTTCTAATCAATCCTTCTTGTTTCTCATAAGCTGCTCTTTCAGCGTCTTCACATCTTCGTTGCCAGTCGAGTTCAACCTGTGTTTTGGCTCGCTCCAGGCTAGACTCCCTTTCCGATGCCATTGATAGATCCTTCTTGTATCTAAAGACATAATACAGCACTCGTTAAACGTAACAATCCCCTATCCTTAAAAGACGTTGGTTGCACGTTATGCAAGGTCATATCCAGCCGTCCTACGGTACCTATTGCGGCTATCTTCCCGATTGCAGTATATTTGCAAGTGTGTTTCTATATTGAGTACTTTGTGTGTGTGTGTGGGTGGGTGGGTGGGTGGTGGGTGGGGTTGGTGACAGGATGAAAGGATGATTGGGGAGTGACTGACCCCATAGACCTTTTCTGAAAAAGGGAATATGGTACATTGTGGTCTAGCTTGGGTACAAACGTCTTTTATTCACCATGCCTTATGTGGTGTTGTTTGTATCCAAGCTAGACCCAATATTTGCAGCCTATTTATAATCATTGCACAAGAAAAACGATGAGAAATCCTGGATAGAAAGTTTAATGTTGTATTATTTGTAATAGCGTGTACCTCTCCACATCTTCTGTTCTCTGAATGACATCCATGCGTAGTTTCTCTTCTTGTTGTCTGAGTGCCTCCAGCTCCAGATCCTTGGATACTGTTGAACGAGAGAACTCAGCTGCTTGTGAAGACAGTCTTTCTTCACTTTCTGCAAGCTTCTTCTGAAGTCTAGACAAAAATAGAAACAGAAATCAAAGAACATTTCGTTCTTCTGTCCCAGTGATGATCTTGGTGTTGGGAGGAGGAGGGATGGTGTCTTCTATGGTACAGAGGTAGGAAGAAGGAACAATATGGTAACAAAACACACATGCCGACAAACCAACTGAGCCAACTGCCTTCCGGTTGGCTCAGTTGTTTGGGCACTGGTCTGTTGTGTGGAAGATCTTAGGTTAAGGCCTCCATGGCAGGACTCACAGTCTTACAATATCTGAGAAGAAGTTCATGCCTTTGCTCTAAATAAAAAGTATATGCAAATGGTTAGACCTTGGCCGTCGCTCAGATGAACACATAAAATGACAGTCCAGTCTCACTTAGAGATATTAACATAGAGGGTCAGAAGATTATCAGTGCTAAGTTGGCAACTGTTACATGTCACCTTCTCTAAACAAAGACTATTATTATTATGGCAGTATATACTTCTGGATGCCCAGACCTAAGCTTTAAGGTAGTTGGGCAGAAACTGTAGCCAACTATCATCATAATCATMATCATCATCATCAGCATCATTATTGATTATCATCATCATCATCAGCAGCAGCAGCATCATTATTGATCATCATCATCATCATTATCATTATGTTACCTCTGTACTTTCATGTCTTTATCTTTCATGATATCTTTGTTTTCCCATTCTAACTGTCTGTACTCTACTTCAACAGTGTCCAATTTATCTTGATATTCACGGATAGTATCCTCAAGCTGTCTTTCACGCTGTTGATGTGTCTAAAAACAAAGCAAAAAATACTTCTTCTGGACATTCACCTTTCCATCCYATTTCATTTGCTAATGAATATGAACTCAAATGAAATGGGAATGAACATGAGCAAGAAACATGGAATACTCTTGGATCATAGAGAGAACTGATAATTTAGTAGACTAGTATAATACTATATATTTGGGGGGGGGGGGGGAGCGGCCGTTAGCCTTTGCTTTTTCATGCCTCCAAGGTCTCAGAATAGGGACTATTGCACAGGTTTGGTATCACCTCTAAACAACCATGATTGAGTAACAAACAAAATACCTCTTTAGCAGCAAGCAGCGCAGTCTCCTTTTCTCTGGCATACCGGTCTAATTCTGCTTGTTTGTGTTCAAAGATAGCCTGCGACTTTTTCATTGAAGCTTGCATTTGCTCCATTTTTGATTCTGTATCTGATAATTTAGCAGCATTCATATTTTCTTTATCCATTAATTCCCATTCTTTCAATTTCAGTTTCTTTTCCAGTTCTTGTACGCTTGTTTCAGTTGTCTGTAGTTCTGTTTTGGTTCGTTCCTCATAAGACCGCAGTATTTCTACTTCTTTTGTTAGCATTTTTACCTAAAAAAAGCAGCTTTATTTCAATTCATGTTACACAGTAAATGTGCATGTTGCTGGAGGGAATTGGGTTGGTACATGTAACATGGCTCTAAATCTTGGCTCCAGACAAACACCTCTTAGGCCTGTCCTCTTGATTGGTCACATTGACTGGCCATATTTTAATCAGTCTGTTGTGGCCACTCATCATTCCCAGTTATTGAGCAGCTGATACTTTTAGCCCCAAGGTAAGAAATGAATAGGGTAAAGTTTTCTACTCTAAGATAAAGCTTTGCTATAATTGTTTGGTAGATAAACTTTAAGTGGGTATAATTTAGATACTGAATTTAAAGTAGAATGAGAATATGGAATGAAAAATGGGGTCCTATTGCCCTTCCCCAGACCCTTCCTTTGATCATCTGGTAGAGAAGAATTTGTCACCTTCAAGTCTTTTTCTAGCAGTCTGTTACTCATCTCATCCAACTTAATGCGATATTCATGCTGTCTCTTGTGCAGTTCATCATCGTACCCTGACATTAACAAGTGACGCTGGCTTTCCATATCCTCTTCTACTGTTCTTTATTCAAAATCACATCAAAGCAAGGTTTTGTTAAGGTTTTTCAGGCTTTTGGCTCTTTGAAAAGCTATCATAGACAAAAGGCTAGAAAAGTTTTTAAGCCAATAAACCTGGAATATTTTGAGCTTTTGGAAATGATACATTGTTACAATAGGGTAGGGCTTTATGTTTCTGAATGTGATTTGACCAAACTTTTCCAACCCCCCCCCCCTTCCCTCCTCTCCC